GGAAGGAGCCCAGGGGAAGACGCAAGGGTCAGAGGGGGGGATCAGAACCGCCGGCCACCGTGGGGAGAGGGGACCCGGGAGGGACTGGGCGGCGGTGGGCGGCCGGGGAGGGTCGGACCCGGGGAGGGGGGAGTGCGGTCGGACTTCCCGAGGGAGAGGAGGAGGCAGATGGACACGGGGGTGGGAGAGAGAGAGAGACAGGAGGACCGGAGGGGCCGCGCAGAGGGACAGAGGAAGGATGGAGATGGACAGATGGACAGTCAGACAGGAGGGGGAGCAGACACAGACGCGGGAGAGGAGACCAGACACGGGCCTCCCCGCAACACCATGGCCAGGGGGGACACCGAGACACCCGCCAGCCTGTGGTGGAGAGGTGGCACGGGCAGCTGGGGGTGCCCGTGGGCTTAGGGGGGGCAGGAAATCCCTGCTCTCAGGCCCTGTTACCTGCCCCTCTCTGGCTGCCTGGGAGGGGGTGCGGAGCGCAGCTGGGGTTCCTGTCACTTTAGCCAGATGAGCGCTTTCCCCTGTCCCTCCCTGGGGGGGGGACTGGGAGGACCCTGCCTGGCCTGCTCCCTCCACTGTCCCCGCTGCTGGGTCCCCTGGGGTCCCTTCTTGGAAGCAGAGCCCTATGTAGGGTGAAGGGCGAATGTTGGAGCTGAGCTTCCTTCCATGACCCCTAGAAAAGAAAGCATGTGGACCCGACTCCCAGAAGCCCAGCCTTGCTGCCTGCCCCCAGCCCCCACCCCACGTCTGTGTGTGTTTCTCCCCAGTTAGGGGTTCTCTGCCTCTGAGCGCCTGTTCTTGCATGCGCCTCTTGTCCAGCTCCTCCTCCTCCTCATGTCTCTGTGTCTCTCTCTGCCTCCCTATCTCCGCTCCCTGAGCCCCCCGGGGACCACAAGCCCCCAGCAGCTGGTCCCAGCAAAAGCAAACCGAAGTCCAAGTGTTAGTCAGGGAGTGAGGGCCGTGCTGCCCAGTCCAGGCTGACAGCCTCTCTCAGGACTCCCCGGTACTCCCATGTGAGTGAGGTATATGCCCACAGCCCCAGAACCCCTTTGCCAACCTCTACCTGTCAACAACCCAGGTGTGTGTGTGGGGGGGGGCGCAGGGATGGCTTCCTGTCCCTCCATCCCATGTCCTGACCCTCAGGAGGGTTATTTTCCTCCGGGTCCCCATCCAGAGTTTCCGGGCAGACCTCCCCTCCAAGTATACAGACTGGCTTTCTCTAGCGTCTGGTTTCTTGTTCTTGACGTAGTTACCCAGATGCACTCCCCACGTAGGGTCCCTCACCCACATCCCCGCTGCCCCCCCAGCCTCTGGCTCCCACACGGCCTGCCCTCCAGCCTTTCCCACCGCCCTCAGTCAGCTGTCAAGCTGTGCTGCACACTTCAGTAGGTGGTACCAGGGCCCTGGACTGTGGTGCTTTGCATGTGTGTATTCATGCGTGCCTGTGCATGTGCATGTATGTGTGTGCATGCGTGTGCACATGTGGTTTTTGATGCCTCTTGCCCCTCAGAGTATGAGCTGTAGCCATAGGGACTCCCGCCAGACAGGACTCCTGGGAGCCCCTTCCCCCATGCATATACAGCTAGAAAGCCCAGCAGCTACCCTCCAGAAGAATCCAAAGTGGGCATTCTTAGGGAGCAGACTACACGATGTGAGGCCAGTGGTGTAAAGAGGTGGGGGCATCCTGAGCTTTCCTTAGGGTAGCTGCTCAGAGAGCCCCATGCTGTTTACCTGAGCCCTTTGGTCTGTGTGTCTGTCGTCCATCTGCATGTTTATTCAGCTCAGCTAGAAGAAACATGGCGCCCAGGCAAGCTTGTTCTGGGCTGGTTAGAATCTAGTCTCTGCCCCTACCAGTGAGCTACTGACCTATCTGTCATCCTCATCCTGAGACATTAACCCAGCGATAGCCACGGCTAAGGTTCTTCTACATTAACGCAGCAATGGCCACGGCTAAGGTTCTTCTAGCTGGGCTGTCTTGTGTCCTAAGGTTTCCCTGTCTGCACCATCTCCCTTCCTCCCTCCTTTCCCCTTCTTTCCTCCTCTCCCCCCCCCTCCCTTTCAGAAAGGTGTGTGGAGTCTGTACCTAGAAGCTCTCTTGCATTATTTCCCAACATGGATAGACCAGTGGGAAGAGTATTGAGAAGAGGAAGTGGGAACCCCCCCAAATGTAGCCCAAATCTCAGTCCAGAAGTGGGGCTCCTAGATTCAGGTTCATGCCTAGGTTTCCTGGGGGCAGGGGGCTGCAGAAAGCGCTGGGAGCAGCTGGCATCAATGAGGCAGAGTTAGCCTGGGCTGAAGGGTGGCCTTGCCCCTGGCTGGACCCTCCAGTCTGGGGGGGGTGGAGACCAAATGAAGACACCCCCAGTTTCATAGCCTTGGGGCTGGTGCAATCCCATGTTCAGGCCACTTGCATAGCTTTCTAGAGTGGCCTTTGCTCACAGAGCACACCCCTCCCCCGACTTCAATGTCCCCATCTTTTTTTTTTGGTTGTGGGGCTTGAACTCTGGGCCTGGGCACTGTCCCTCAGCTCTTCAGCTCAAAGCTAGCACTCTACCACTTGAGCTACAGTGCTACTTCTAGTTTTCTGGTGGTTTTTATTGGAGATAAGAGTCTCATGGACTTTCCTGCCTGGGCTGGCTTTGAACCGCGATCCTCAGATCTCAGCCTCGTGAGTAGCTAGGATGACAGGCATGAGCCACCGGCACCCGGCCACTGTCCCCCACTGTCCCCATCTTAAGCAGGATTTAAACGCCTGTGGTGTCCGCACTGGGTGTGCAGGGGAGGGGTGGGGTGGTGCTGGTGGGGAGCGTGGGTGGGCAGGGGTTTTCCTTCCATGTGTCCCTCTGAATCTGAGCTTTCCCATCTCTTCAGTGGGACGTGGTGAAGGAAATGAGGCCAGCATTCCGGCAGCACCATGCCTGGCACAGAGGAGCTCTGCCCGGGATGCTGCCAGTTGCCACGTTACCTGGCCACTCTCTACCACGCCACAGCTGGTCTTGTCAGTCTCCCCAGCGGTCAGTGGAGCGTGGAGGCGCCCGCCGGCCGCCGGGTGCTCCATCTCCCCGCAGCCACACTTCACCTGCTGTTCCCCACCTCCTGCAGGAGCAGCGGACGTGGATGAGTGTTCCGAGGGCACGGATGACTGCCACATCGACGCCATCTGCCAGAACACACCCAGGTCCTACAAATGCCTCTGCAAGCCAGGCTACAAGGGGGAGGGGAGGCAGTGTGAAGGTGAGTCCCGTTCCCCCCCCCCCCCCCCCGCGCGCCCATCCACTGCCACCCCTAACAAGGCTGCTAGGCTGAGCCTGCCACCCAGCGCCCTGGGCACACACAGCCCAAATGGCTGGGGGACTGGAGCTGCCCTGGAAGGGAGCGGTTGGAGACATGGGGTGCCTGGGTGTTACCCACATTTTAGGCTTTTTTTCTCGGAGAAGTTGAGGTCGTGGCATGGAACGTTGTATGTGGGCTTCTGTCCATCACTGGATAGGAGGCGTCTGACTTCCGGTCAGAGCCACCCAGAGGGGCCTTGCTCTCAAGCTCTAGAATGTGGGCAGGGTAAATGGGTTCGTGGGTTCCTGCCGTCCACCTGCTCAGCCTCGGCTCCCAGACACACACACACACACACACACACACACACACACACACCCGCCCCCGTGGCTGCATTAAGTATCTGTTATGCCCTGCTTCTTGCACTCGCGCTGGCCCTGCTCACGGCGGGATGCCAAGGCCCCCCCCGAGGCTGCCACGTCCAGGGTGTGCCCTGGACACTCACCGTGGCTCCTTAGGGAGAAGGTTGTCACCTTTGTATGAGCTTGCAGAGAAGGTTCTCATCTGTGTCAGCCTGAAGTTAGCTCTAGACCATCTACCTGAAACCAGGCCAGGGGGTGCAGGGAGGGGCCTCTCCCCACCCCTGTGTCTCCCTGACCCCGTGTCAGAAGAGAGGAAAGCAGGGAGCGGCCTGGCCTCTCCAGGGATGCTCTGGGCTGCAGTCCACCTCTGGCATGAACTCGGGTGATGATTTGCCATCCCCAGGCCTTGTTTTTCCCTCTGGCTATAAGAGCCAGAGTTCCCACCATGGCTTCTCCTGGAGGCCTAAGGCCCAGCCTGGGTGCCTGGCTTTCGGCAGACCTTCTGGGTTCCTGTGTGTCGTGGACAGGGGACAAGCGTGCCGGCTGCCACCACCGGGCGCTCTCCCTACCGTTGGAATGGTCCCAGGCTCAGGCTCTGACCTTGGAAAACAATCCCTCTCGGCCAGTGCTCTCGGTCACGGACTGCAGGCCTTTAACCAACCACAGCTACTTGGGAGGTGGGGACAGGAGGACCATGACTCACAGCCAGCCATGGTGGTGCACGTCTGTAATCCCAGCTACTCCAGAGGTAGAAGAACAGGGGATCACAGTTTGAGGTTGGCCCAAGCAAAAAGTGTAAGACTGAAGCTGAAGAACAAACTCAGAGCAAAAAGAAAAGTCCCCTGGGTCTGTGTCATCCGCTCCCTGCCCTCGGGGAGCTCGTGTGCGGCTGGTGCTGTGTGGCACCCCAGTGTGTCAGGACCTGCTGAGCTGCCCTGCCAGCCGTTCATAGACAAGCTCATAGCAGCCCAGAGCCCCCTGGAGCCCCCATGATGCATGCTGGCTGGTGCTCCCCAACCCCCTGGGATGCGTGCTGGTGCTCACTGAGCCCCCGTGATGCATGCCAGCTGGTGTGGGGCCTGGGATCCTGTTTGCCTCCTCCTCGTCTCATCCCGAGGGATGGACGGGTCCCCTCGGGACTGTGCAGAGACTTCCGGGGTGGACCTCTGCAGGGGCCACCTGACCTTTGATATAAGGATGGGCGCGTGGAGAATGAGCGCACGGGCGACCCACCAGGGTCAGGAGTGTGCCCACTCGTGCACACTGTGCCTCTGTATTGGCTTTTGCTGCTGTCCCTCCCCCAGCAGTCCTTTCTCAGATGATCAGAGTTCAAATCCTGCCTGTGCGGCTCCTGTCCTCCGCTTAGCTGTGAAGGGAACATGGCGCCGGCATCTGCATCACAGAGCGGGAGGGTGAGGAAGTTAACTGACTTGGAGCATTTAACAGAGGCTGGCCCAGGCTGTGCTACAGGAGCGCGAGCCCCAGGCTTTGTGGTGGCGCTGGTGATGGTGCGCGTAGTGTTACTGGCAATGTTGAGGATGACGGTGATACTGAGGATGGTGAAGATAAGGGTGATGGTGATGCTGACCGTGGGGAGAAGAGTATTGGTGACAACATTGTCACTGGTGGGAATACTGATGGTAATCGTGGCAAAGGAAGAGGCGAGTGATGATGCTGATGGCGAAATGAGGATAATTAAGAGGAGGAGGAGACAGAGGATGGTGGTGAGGGTGATGGAGAGCATGGCGATTGTGATGGAGTTGATGGTGTTAGCACTCTGGAAGGGTGTGTGTGTGTGTGTGCGCACGCGCGCGTGCATGAGTGCTCTCCTGGGGCTTGAACTCAGGACCAGAGTGCTGTTTCTGAACTTTTTCATTTCATTCAAGACTAGCACTCTATTACTGCTTGAGCCACAGCTCCACTTCCAACATTTTGGTGGTTCAATGGAGATAAGAGTCTCACAGACTTTCCTGCCCGGGGTTTTTCAGGGCTGGCTTTGAACCTCGGTCCTCAGATCTCAGCCTCCTTTTAGCTGGGATCGAAGGTGTGAGCTACCAGTGCCTGGCATGATCATATCACACCGGCGCTGATGCTCACGCGGTGTCAATGGTCATAAGCCGAAGGGGTGATACTTGGTCTCCCCCCACCCGACAATTCCCCACGATCTGGCATGGTTGGGACATGAGAGGTGCTGGTTCCTAGGCGTCCTATACCCCACACACCTCTCCTCCTACCCCGGCGGTGCACGCGGGAAGGTCACAGGTGGCCAGCTACCAAGATCTCACCAGCAGAAATACGTGGGCAGAGCAGGGTGCTGTCCCTCCCCCCACAGCAGACCCCCCAACCCCCCCCATTTCCACGGGCTCCTCCCTATATCCATGGGGCTCTGCAGCTGATCATTCGGGGGGGGGCAAGCACACTGTCCCCACACTGCGGGTTACTGTGCAGGACACAGGCTGGAGTTTCAGGAAAGCCCACATGGGGAGCCCGACTTCCCATCTCCCCAGTTCTTCCCGGGATCAGCCGTGTCATGGGAGGCCTGGAGTGGCTGGGCGTGCGTGTGTGCCCTTGCGGGGGCCCGCTGGAGCTTCTGCTGGTTGTGAAACACGCTGACAGCCACGCGCACCTATGGGGAAGGTACTGGCTGCACTCCAGTCCTTCCCGCTTTGGCCCGCGCCGGGGTGCGGTCTGGGCCAGCGAGGTCAGCTTAGACTGGTGACAGAGCCTTGGGGCCCAGTGGGACTCTGAGCAAGGCAGGGGGGTGAATCGAGTTTTTTTCTCCAGTATTCGTATCCTGTGGAAGTTGAAGTCGCCAGGGGCGAATTTGTGGCCGGTGGGGTTGGAGGGAACTTTCTAGAATATCCATGACCACAACTGTCCCCAAGACAGAGGCAGGTGAGCCCTCCTCTCTGCTGCCCTCTCTATACCCATGGATGCCTCCAGTTTAACTCCTGCCACAGGGCGTCGTGTCTTCCTGGGGTACCTCCTGGAATGTGGGCATGGTCCGTCACCTGCCTGGCTCCTGTGCCCTAAAGTCCCTGGGTTGGGGGGGGGTGCACCCCAGGGTCACCTCCTCCAGGAAGCCTTCCTAGGCTGTGAAGATCTTTGCCACCACACTGAGACGAGGCCCCAAGCCGCTGTGGGAAGACAGCGAAGGGCTCTTGTCAGCCTTGGGTGCCAGCGAGCGCTCCCCGGTCCTCTCAGGGTCACAGAGGGGGGGGAGGCTCTGGCTAACGAGGGCCCCGTGGCAGAGCTTGGGAAAATGGAGTCCAGGGTGGGCAGTCTCCAGGTGGCCCAACAGAGAGGCAGCAGGACCTAGATCCAGCGCACCAGCCCCGGGGCCCCATCTGAGAGTGGGCTTCCTCAGCCGTGGGGGTAGAGGAAGCTGGGGGTTTACATGTGTCCCTGCCGGCACCGCCGCAGCTTGTCTGAGGCAGACCCTGCGAACGTGAGCAGCCAGAACTCCACTCTCCCTTTCCTCTTCTTTCTTGTGCCTGCCGTGGGGCTTGAACTCAGGGCCTGGGCATTTAGCTTTTTTGCTTAGGATTAGCACTCTACCACTTGAGCCACAACTCCATTTCTAGCTTTAGGGTGGTTACTTAGAGAAGAGTCTCATGGACTTTGTTGCCCAGGTTGACTTTGAACCTCGATCCTCTAATCTCAGCCTCCTGAGTAGCTAGGAATAGAGGCGTGTGCCATCTCTGCCCAGCTGCATCCCCCTTTTGATGTCTGGGAGATGCTGCCCCTTGGGCCTGGCATGGCACTTGGCTCCGAGACTCTAAACTCCTGGTATTGCCCGCCCTGCCTTCCTTCCCTCACCACCAGCTCACCTCTTCCTACCCCAGGGCTTTTGCACGTTCTGTTCCTCTTCCTTCAGTGAAGCCTGTGCATTCCCAGCCCATGGAGCCCCTTGGGTACAGGCATTGTGGAAGTTGTCAGGGCTAGCCCTGCACCGGCCCTGCTCTGAATTAGCCAGGCCTGTTTGTACTTGTCCTGCCCAAGGGGCAGACTGGGGCCAGGAGGGGACTGCAGTCCCTTTAAATGCTTCCACTCATTTGACCTTAATTGCCTTGTTTTCAGACCTTTGCTAAGGAAAAGGACTGAATTATAGCTTGAATTGGGGCCTACTAATCTTAATGAGAAGCTCTTGTCTGTAATCTGGTCCAGGCCTCAAATGGGGAGCGAACCGCCCGCAAATGTCTTGTTTAAATAACGGAGACCCTCCTGCTAATCACTGTTTAGTCTGAAGCAGCTGCGCTCAGCCCCGCTCCACGCTCACGGGGTTGACCATTTATTCAAGTGGTTTGCTCCACGCGCAAGTTCCAGCTCCGGCTCCTCCAAAATACTATCATTACCACTCTCAGGGGAGAGGCGTTTTGTTTTGGCCACAATATATTGATTATATTACTGTTTTCGTGTGTGTGTGTGTGTGTGTGTGTGAGAGAGAGAGAGAGAGAGAGAGAGAGAAATAAGGGAAATGACCAGCTCTGGTCATCAGAGATCACAAAATGAGCATGTGTACAATGAATGTAAATAGTCCCTTCCTGAATCTCATGCCCCCAGGGTCTATTCATCAGCCGCTGGCTGGTGGTAGGTAGATTA